GGCTTAGGCGCCTTCTTTGCTTTCGGCTGCGACGGGGGCGGCGCTTTCTGGGCGTCGCGCACGAAGTCCTTGATGAAGTCCATGTTCTCCTGGATCATCTGCTGGTCCACGCCGTGCGCCTGCAGATCACCCAGAAGCGCGTTCCACGACGGGTCGACACCAGTAGACACGAAGCCGCGCTCGGCATCGTATCCCATGTGCGCGACATGGATGAAGGAGCCCTGTGCGGGACCGGAGATGAGGGATTTGTTGATCTTCCCGCCTTTCTTCGTCTTCGAGCGCGAGACAGAGGGCGCAGGAGAGGGTGCTGCAGCAGGAGCAGCTGCCGCCGCCTTCGCTTTCTTCGCTGTTGGGCATAATTAGACAATGTGAGAGGTAACTAGGGAATGTAAACATACGTTTGGACTCCTTGCGCGACGTTACTTTCTTGTACACGTTCTTCGCCTCGTTCTCCTCGGCGAATACGAGCCCGATATTGCATTCCTGCACGCACGTATGATCAGTAAGTACCATGCCACGTACAAGACACCAAGTAGAATACTCACGTCTCCCGCAAAGCTGTGGAAGTACGGCCTGTCCTGATAATACTCGAAGTCCTCATACAGCTCATATTCCCACAGCACACCCCTCGTCCCGACCAAATCCACCAATCTCAGAAAGAATATCCCTCGCGCTTTATCGTGCACAAACACAAGTGCGCCCTGGAGACCGCCATAGGCCCACGCGTTGGGATCAGGGTACGCAAAGTAGATACGCGCGAGGCCGGCCGCTAGAATCTTCGCGCCGTTGGTTCCCGCGGCGGATTTGACCTTGTCGCGCTCGGAGGATGTGAGGGTCGATGTCGACGGCATCGAGGAGGGGTATCAGATGGTGGTGAGAAGCAGAACGTGGTGAGACGGGGACGCGCCGACGCGCCTGGATGGTCGTCGTTGATGACGATCTCGGAGGCACTGCCGCGCCCAGCCCGTCCATTCGGCATTTCCCGACAACGTCTTCCGCGCGTTTGAGGCTCGCGTGCGTTACCTCTTGACCATGATGATCACTTGTATGGACGCAGTTTCCTCTACAACTGCTCTGCGTAGCTGGATACGATCAGTAAAATCCAAGCACTGCTTTTGTTGTGCACCGCTCCTCGTCTATATACTTATATCAGCTCACTACGTGTACCAAACATCGACAAATGTCGTTGACCGACAACGGGTACTGGGCAAACCATGACCTTCGTCATATCAGCACACCACATACACCAGCCTAAGTAGGTTCGAAGTTGAGATTGTTCTGTCCACGCTGACCGGCTCAAAGTTGGGGTATAAAGGACTCTTTTGGTTCATCAAAGCAAACCCAGTTACCTCTACCAATATGGGCGCCGCCGATCCGACGTACCCACTATATCCCATTGCTCTCATTCTGTCTTCAGTGATGTTATTTCTGGTGCTCACGACCAGCTTTATCCGACAGAAATGGAACCTAGGGATCACCTTCCTATGTTTTTCATTGTTACTTGAATGTAGTACTGAGGCAGTGAATGCCATCGTTTGGTCCGACAACGCCGATCTCAAACTATACGTGTATTGTGATATCGGTATGTGTATCCACTATACATCGTGTGCGCCCATTGAGCTTACGGCTCATAAAATAGTCACTCATATTCAGGCGGCTGTATCCGTCGTCAAACCCATGGCAACACTCATCATTACCCGCCGGCTCTACCTAATAGCCAACCTTCAAATTGTAGAGCTTCCGAGTAGATCAAAGGTTTGGCTCACGCCGAACACGTTATCTGGGGCTGATCATCGGAGTAGAGACGATGGGATCTGGTCGTAGAGTGGACTCTGGGACTAATTGTTCCAATGCTCGTAGCCGGTCCTATATGTGAGGGCTCGCATAAATTTCTGCGATCAAGCGCTCACTGACTGCGATGCAGACTATGCGAACCAGGGCACTCGATTTGGAGTCCTCGAAGGTTTCGGATGTGCAACAGGCGAACAGCTATCTATACTTAAAATCCTGACTTGGGATTCTTGAATGATCATTGCCCCCTTGATCTCAATCATGTTTTACTACCGTAAGTTATCAAGTGATTACCGCGCCCCTTAGACATTAAAGATCAGTCTAGCAAAGGTAGCAAAGCTGTATTATCGCCAGAGAAAGGATATCAACAGCTTTCTGCGCAGCAATCCCTCCGTCTCGCGCACGAACTATCTTCGTATTCTGATCCTTGCCAGCATTGACATCTTGCTCACATTGCCCTTCGGAATAGTGGACATCACTCTGCAGATATACCCGTGGCTGAACAACTTATCACCCTTTTCGTTTTACCCCGGGTGGACCTACTTACACACTGCGTGGGAACCGCGAGGTCTTTCTTACGCCAAGCAGCGGTCGTTTGGTACCGCATATATTGCAGCAACTTACGTATCTCGATGGACATCACCCGTGCTCGCGTTCATCATCTTCGGCCTCTTCGGACTGACAGCCGAAGCACGCGCATCGTACTGGCGCATCATCCACACAATCGGCCGCTGGTTAGAACGGAAACCCACTCCCCGCGCGCGGAACGGACAGGCATCTGTGGGAGAGATCGAGTTCGGAGCGCGCCCGCAGGCTACGACCGGCACGTCGGGCATTGATCTTGAGATGGGGTACGTTTCATCCGCATGTCCACTGAAACGGCTCTCACTCCTTCACGCAGATCGCGTCCTCCGAGCTTCGTCAATACGGAGGCGGTCGCCACGAGACAGAACATTGACGATGGTCTGGGGGGTGGGCCAGCCCGCGGTTCGGCGACGGACCTGAAGTCGGTGGAGGAAGCGCGTCTCGGGGAGCCTTCGGACGGAAAGGACGTGCAGTACGTCTAGAGTCTGTGTACCGTGTATGCAGACATGCTGACGCCATCATTCGTGCAGAGGCAACAACTGTCGCGTCACTAGGGACGACGAGCCATCTGAGAGCATCAAGAGAACGAGTGTCACGAGCAACCGTTCGCTCGAGGACGCTCAGGCCGCCAACAACGCTGACTGCGTTGTGGTAGATGCGCACGGCAAAGAAGAGGATACATGTGCCGTATGAGTGCAATCAAGTATTCCGGGGTGCATCCGCACCCCTTGTGCTGCTGGCCGACGAGCTCCGCCAAGCACGATCGCCCGGAAGCCCCCTCGCTCATTTCTTAGCTTCATTATATTCATGTCGTGACGTGAGCCGGATTTCACGCCACACAGATCTTGTGTTCCAACCTTCGCGATACCCAGCTTGTAACCATATATGTTTGTGTGTGTATATTAGTACATTAACTTCAATGTAGTTTCAGCGCGCGAACACGAAACCGAGCTGGTCGTATCGACTCCGCCGGGCTTCCTCCTTGCCTCTCTTGTGCCTGTCCGTGCCAGATATCCAGTAGTCATTTACTGAAGGCGAGTCAGAACGTATCCCCAAATAGTAGAGAGGCGGACGTACGCTATGTAACCCGCTGCACGGATATCCTTCTCGCCGCTTCCTTCGTTTCACCTCTCCGCAGACGTGGGGACCTTCCACACACCACCCTTCCCAATCCAGCAAGAGCTGCTGGGCATCAATGAGTCCATCGTCCTACCTCGTCTCCAAGCCTTCGTAGTCCCACGCGCTAGGTCAGCAGAACGTGGTGAGATGGGTACGCGCCGACGCGCGAAGATGGTCGTCGTTGATGACGATCTCGGAGGCGCTGCCGCGCCCAGCCCGTTCAATCGGCATTTCCCGACAACGTCTTCCGCGCGTTTCAAGTTCGGATGTGTTGCCTCTCGACCATAATCATTCGTATAGATGCATTCCTTCGTAACCGCCTCGTGAAGCTTGACACGATCCGCGCTCACGCAAAGAGTAATAGTACTGCCCTTTTTGCGTGCGGCACCTCACCAGCCTCACTCATGGCTCGGATCACCTATGTACGAATGTCGACGCAATGTTGAACTACAGTATATGTGGACTGGCAACGGACACTTGGGTTCCAAAAACGACCGACGACCCTCACAACACGACCTGCTTTTGGCGACACCTTGATATGAATGGTCGCCGTATCAAGAACGAGAGGCCCGTGCAGACTGCAGAGTCTACGTAAACGTCCCAAACGAGGAATGGACCGGATTATTCGGTAACCCTTAGCGCTGGGACCAAGTACTCCCCATGTCAACGATACGCTAAGGCGCGCGTAGCCGGTCTGGTCATCGAAGCTGGCATGCAGATATGGTGCTGCTCATGCCCCCTACTTCTAGGGATGGGTTGCTCGCCTACTCATCGATCCCCTCAGAAGTGGTGTACGTACCAAGACGGCCTTCGCATATGAAGAGCTCCTTTCGTCTACCAAGATAACCCGACTATCCCATGCAACATGCGCGCCGCCGATCCAACCTACCCACTCTATCCCATCGCCAGTGCCCTGGCTTCAGCGATGTTGCTGGTAGTACTCATGAACAGCTTCATTCGCCAAAGCTGGAACCTGGGTGTCGCTTTTCTCTGCTTCTGGCTTTTCGTCGAGAATTTCACCGGTACAATCAACCATATCGTATGGTCCGACAACGCTGCTGTGAAGCTCTACATCTACTGCGACATAGGTATGTGTACACACGAGTTCTTTTTTGACATTCATTGAACGTACGGTAGTCACCCATACGCAATCGATCACTTACATCGTCAAACCCATGGCAACATTGATCATTACACGCCGACTGTACCTGATTGCTAGCCTTCAGACCGTAGAACTTCCGAGTAAATTCAATGTATGGTTTGTGCTTAACTTCCTAACTGGTGCTAAGCATCAGAGCAGAGACGATGGGAGCTAGCCGTAGAGTGGACTCTGGGACTGGTCATTCCTTTGCTCGTAGCCGGCCCTATATGCAAGTGCTTGTACGGACCCGAGCTATTGATTGCTCACCTTGCGTCAATGCAGACTATGTGAACCAGGGCAGTCGATTCATGGTCACTGAGGGCTTTGGATGTGCAACAGGCTCTGTACTATCCATACTCGAAATTCTGGTTTTGGAGTCCTGGACTATCGTTCCTCCCTTGGTCTCCATCGCAGTCTATTACCGTAGGTCACTCTCTCGATCTCCCTGTCTCTCCGACACTAAATATGGCTTCAGCTAAAGTGGCAAAGACATACTATCGCCAGAGAAAAGATATCAACAGCTTTCTGCGCAGCAATCCCTCCGTCTCGCGCACGAATTATCTTCGCATCCTGATTCTTGCCAGCATAGATATTTTGCTCACATTGCCATTCGCAATTGTGAGTCTCACTCTGGATATAGTCCGGGGACTGAGCGACTTCTCGTCATTTCCTTTCTACTTTGGTTGGACCTTATTACACACTGCGTGGGAACCGAAAGGTTTTTCTTACGCCGAGCAGCAATCGTTGGGTACCGCATATATAGCAGCAGCCTACTTCTCTCTCTGGACATCCCCCGTGCTCGCATTCGCCATCTTTGGCCTCTTCGGCCTGACACCCGAAGCACGCGCATCGTACTGGCGCATCATCTGCACCGTTGGAGGCTGGTTTGGATGGAAACCCACCCTTCGCGCGCGGAACGCACAGGCGTCTGCGGGAGAAATCGAGTTCGGAGCGCGCGCGCAGGCTACTACTACCGGCACGTCGGGCTTTGAGCTTGAGATGGGGTACGTATACGTTCCATCCGCATACCGCCTGAAACGGCTCTCACTCCTTCGAGCAGATCGCGTCCCCCGAGCTTCGTCAATACGGAGGCGGTCGCCACGAGACAGAACATCAACGATGGTCTGGGCGATGGGTCGGTCCGCGGATCGGTGACGGACCTGAAGTCGGTTGAGGAAGCGTGTCTCGGGGAGCCTTCGGACGGGAAGGACGTGCAGTACGTTTACAGTCTGTGTGCCGTGTATGCAGCCATGCTGATGCCATCGTTCGCGCAGGGGCAACGACTGTCGCGTTACCAGAGCCGCCGAGCCATCTGAGAGGATCAAGAGAACGAGCGTCACGAGCTACAGTTCGCTCGAGGGCGCTCAGGCCTTCACCAACGCTGACTACGTTGTGGTAGATGCGCACGGAAAAGAAGAGGATGCATGTGTTGTATGAGTGCGGTCGAGTACTCCGGGGTGCATCCGCACCACTTGCGCCGCTGGCCGACGAGCTCCGCCAAGTTCGATTGACCGGGACTCTCTTCGCTAATCTCGTAGCTTTATTATGTTTATGTCGTGGTGTGAGCCGGATTCACGCTATACAAAATCTGTATCTCAAACTTCGCGATACCCAGCTCGCAATTATATATTTTTGAGTGTACATGTAGTACATCAACTTCGAAGTAGTTTCAGCGTGCTAACACGATGCCGAGGTGGTCGGATCGACCCAGCTGCCTCGCTTGTACCGGCCAGTGCCATATATCTATAGTCGTGTCCTAAAGAAGAGTCAGAAGGTATGCCAGTAGGGAAGAAAGGCGGATGTACGTTATGTGGCCCGCGGCACAAATATCCTCCTCGCTGTCTCCTTCATTTCACCTCTCCGCCAGCGTGGAGACCTCACCCACACAGCGACCTCCCCAGAATCCAGCATGAGCTGCTGGGCATTAATTGAGTCCCTCGTACTACCTCGTCTCCAAGCCTTCGTAGTCCCACGCGCTAGGTCAGCAGAACGTGGTGAGACGGGTACGCGCCGACGCGCGAGGATGGTTGTCGTTGATGACGATCTCGGAGGCGCTGCTGCGCCCAGCCCGTTCATTCGGCATTCGCCGACAACGTCTTCCGCGCGTTTCAAGTTCGCATGTGTTGCCTCTTGACCATGATGCATGATCATTCGTATAGATGCCTTCCTTCATAACTGCCTCGTGTGGCCTGACACTATCCGCGCTCATGCAAAAGGTAATAGTACTGCTCCTTTTGCGTGCGGCACCTCACCAGCCTCACTCGTGGCTCGGGCCACCCATGTACGAATGTCGATGCAATGTTGAACTGCATGTGGACTGGTAACGGACACCTGGGTTCCAAAAACGACCGACGACCCTCACAACACGACCTGCTTTTGGCGACACCTTGATATGAATGGTCGCCGTATCAAGAACGAGAGGCCCGTGCAGACTGCAGAGTCTACGTAAACGTCCCAAACGAGGAATGGACCGGATTATTCGGTAACCCTTAGCGCTGGGACCAAGTACTCCCCATGTCAACGATACGCTAAGGCGCGCGTAGCCGGTCTGGCCATCGAAGACGGGATGCAGATATGGTGCTGCTCCTGCCCTCTACTGCTGGGCATGGGTTGCTCGCCTCCCCATCGATCCCCTCAGAAGTGGTGTACGTACCAGGACGGCCTTCACATATGAAGAGCTCCTCTCGTCTACCAAGACATCCCAACTATCCTTTTCAACATGCGCGCCGCCGATCCGACGTATCCCTTGTATCCCATCGCCAGTGCCCTGGCTTCAGCGATGTTGTTGGTGGTACTCGTGAACAGCTTCATTCGCCAAAGCTGGAACCTGGGCGTCGCTTTCCTCTGCTTCTGGCTCTTTGTCGAGCTCTTGACCGCTACAATAAATCACGTCGTATGGTCCGATAACGCCGATGTGAAGCTCTACATCTACTGCGATATAGGTATGTCTTACCACACCACTTCTTCTCTGGCATTCACTGAGCGTACGGTAGTCACCCATACGCAAATGATCACTTACATCGTCAAACCCATGGCAACACTGATCATCACACGCCGACTGTACCTGATTGCTAGCCTTCAGACCGTAGAACTTCCGAGCAAAGCAAGTGTATGGTTCATGCTGAACTCTTGGATCGGGGCTAAAGCATCAGAGCAGAGACGATGGGACCTGGCCGTTGAGTGGACTCTGGGACTGGTCATCCCTTTGCTCGTAGCCGGTCCTATATGCAAGTGCTTGTACGGACCCGCGCTATTGATCGCTTGCTGAGTGTCTATGCAGACTATGTGAACCAGGGCACTCGATTCGCGATCGATGAGAGCTTTGGATGCGCAATAACCTTTGAACTATCTGTGCTCGAGATTCTGGTTTTGGATTCCTGGACGATCGTCCCTCCCTTGGTCTCCATCGCAATCTACTACCGTAGGTCACTCTATCGATCGCCATGTCTCTCCGACACTAAAGATCGCTTCAGCTGAAGTGGCAAAGTTATACTATCGTCAGAGGAAGGATATCAACAGCTTTCTACGCAGTAATTCCTCCGTCTCACGCACGAACTATCTTCGTATTCTGATCCTTGCCAGCATTGACATCTTGCTCACGTTGCCCCTCGCAATAGTGGACATCACTCTGAAGATAGTCCAGGGACTGGACAACCCCTCATCCTTTCCGTTTTACCCTGGTTGGACCTTATTACACACTGCGTGGGAGCCGGAAAGTTTCTCTTACGCCGAGCAGCAGTCGTTTGGTACCGCATATGTGGCAGGAAGCTACTTCTCTAACTGGTCATCGCCCGTGCTCGCATTCGCCATCTTCGGCCTCTTCGGTCTAACCTCTGAGGCGCGCACGTCGTACTGGCGCATCATCTGCACAATCGGCCGCTGGTTCGGATGGAAACCCACCCCTCGCGCGCGGAACGGACAGGCGTCTGTGGGAGAGATCGAGTTCGGAGCGCGCCCGCAGGCTACGACCGGCACGTCGGGCTTTGATCTTGAGATGGGGTACGTATACGTTTCATCCGCATACCGCCTGAAACGACTCTCACTCCTCCGAGCAGATCGCGTCCTCCGAGCTTCGTCAATACGGAGGCGGTTGCTGCGAGACAGAACATCGAAGATGGTCTGGGCGGTGGGTCGGCGACGGACCTGAAGTCGGTAGAGGAAGCGCGTCCCGGGGAGCGTTCGGACGGCAAGGACGTACAGTAAGTCTGCACTCCTTGCACCGCATGCATGCATTCTTACGCTAGCCTTGGCACAGAAGCAACGACTGTCGCATCACGGGTGGCGACGAGCCATACAAGAATGTCAAGAGGGCGAGTGTCGCGAGCAACCGTTCGCTCGAGGACGCACAAGCCTCCAGCAACGATGACTACGTTGTGGCAGATACGCACGGCAAAGGAGAGGATGCATGTGTTGTATGAGTGCGGTCGAGTACTCCGGGGTGCATCCGCACCACTTGCGCCGCTGGCCGAAGAGCGCGAACACCCGGGCACCCCTTCGCTAGTTTCTTGAATTCATTGTATTTATGTCGTAGTGTGAGCCGGATTCACGCTACACGAATCTTGTCTTCCAGACTTCGCGATACTGAGCTTGCAACCGTATTTATTTGAGTGTATATGTAGTACATCAACTTCGAAGTTGTTTCAGCGCGCTAACACGATGCCAAGCTGGTCGGATCGACGCTGCTGAGCCCCTCCTGAGTCCTTGCTTCGCTTGCACCGGCCAGTGCCAGATACCCGTAGTCGTGTACTACCAAAGGCGTGTCAGAAGATATGCCAGATAGGGAAGAAAGGCGGACGTACGCTATGTAACCCGCTGCATGGACATCCTTCTCGCCGTCTCCTTCGTTGCACCTCTCCGCTAGGCACGGTCGATTCACACAAGAAAGGCAGGTTTATCCTCGCGCTGTTGTTGCCGACTTAGAGTCGGTGTCTGCTGCATACAGAGAACTGTAGGTGGGAGTTGCCAGCGGCATTGAGAGCATGTCTCAGATGGTGGTCGAGAGCAAAACGCGTCCAGACGCAAGAGCGGTCGGCGTCTCCGCGCACATCTCACCCACCACCATCTCCGCACGCCGCTGCGCTGACAATGCCTGTCACGTTTGCAAAATACCTCGAGCAGCTCGTTGACACGATCACGAGGAGGGAAGGCAACGAGCTCGCATTTCTGTTACGGCCATCCAGTCCTCACGCCTCGCCGTTGGCAGACGAGTTCCGCAACCCAACGGTGCGTCAAGCGTCTTCTCAGGCTCCCGATATGCGCTGAACTATAATCGCAGCCGAGATCGTTTGCTAGATACCGCGGGTTTATTGAGGCGCCATGGGACGACGTCGCAATTCACTACGTGCTCGTCGCATACCACCACTCGAGAGATCAGTTCGGAGAGGCGTATAGAGAGCAGGCAGCACTGGTGAAGTGAGCACCGTCCCTGTCGCGCACGTGTATAGCGACCCATCTCCCACACAGTGCATTTTACAATTTCTTCCAAAAGAGCGACGGCTGGTCGCTGCCTACGCTTCTGGCGATTCTACGCGACTTGCGAGTTCTCGCCTATGAAGTACGTGACCGAAGCGCAGTGGACCACTCCATTCTGACCACAGCTGTAGGCTGATATCCGGAATCAAGGCGATTCTTCAGAGCCCCGAATGGAGGACGCGTCCAGAGTTATCCAGCGGGCGTTCAACCTGTGCTTGCAGGACAGGTGGGCGTGGATTTCTACCCATTCCATTCACAGTTCAACAACAGACTAGGGATTCGCCATACGAGAACTCTCGCAAATGGGGCGTTTATGGTGTCGTAGGCCTCATTCTGAAGAGCTACTTCCGGGTAAGTGGCTTTGCATGGCTGTCTATGACCACCTGAACTGAGTCAGTGACAGATTCGCAAGATATCACTTTCTGTGCCAATCTTGCGAGCGCTCGGTGCTAACAAAGATCTGCCCCCGCTCAGTGATTACCCCAAGCCGCACCAGGTTCGTACTCGAGATTCCTCAAAAACACCATACTGATTCGGCGCCTGGACCAGGTCACCTACAAGTACTATCTGGGTATGATCGCGTTCCTCGAAGAGAGGTATGCGGAGGTGCGCCCGTGGCGAGACCCTTATCACGCCTCATACCTGACACCTCATCTAGGCTGAGAAGGAACTGACGCAGGCCTTCGACGCTTGCTATTCCGAGGCTCACAACAACCTTCAGTGTGAAAGTCGATGTCCTTTCTCATACTAATCTGACAGACTTCGCAGGATGATACTGACCTATCTCATACCACTAAGGCTCTTCCGCGGACATATGCCGTCGGCGGCCCTTCTGACTGCATATCCAGCCCTAGAGAACTTGTACTCGCAATTCCTCACTGCGATCTGCAAGGGGGACATCGAGTCTTACGACAAGGCGCTCGTCCGCTTAGAGCGTCCCCTCATTGATCTGAATCTGTACCTCATGCTCGAAAAGGCTCGTGAACTGTGCATCCGCGGCTTGTTCCGTCGTGTGTGAGCAGCATGCCTATCCGAATGTTTCGCCTACTGATCACGCTCGTCGTAGATGGGTTGCGACCTCGAAGGGCTCTCAGATAACTGTCTCCTTCTTCCATGCGGCGTTACGGCTGGCCGGTCAGGATGTCGATCTGGACGAGGCGGAGTGTCTTGTGGCTATCATGATCGCAAGAGGCTATATCAAAGGCTACATTTCCCACGCCAAAAGGACGGTCGTGCTGTCCAAGGTGGACGCCTTTCCGGCTTTGACCTCACGCGCGACACCCTACGTACTGTATTAGGGGCCTCTGGCGCATTCGCATGTACATATCTGTGCTCTGTATATTGGAGTTACTTGAGCATTGAGAGAACAAGCGTCATGAGCAACCGTTCGCTCGAGGGCGCTCAGGATTCCGACAACGCTGAAGGCGACTACACTGCGGTGGATGCGCACCGCAATAAGAAGGACATTCGTGTCGCGTGAGCGCAATTGAGTACTCCGCGGTGCATCCGCACCACTTGCGCTGCTGGCAGACGAGCTCCGCCAAGCTCAATTCGCCCGGAATTGTGGTGTGAGCCGGATTCACGCTGCACGACACTTGTGTTCCAAACTTCGTGATACCCAGCTTGCAACAATATATATATGTGTGTATGTTTAGTCCATCAACTTCGAGGAGCTGGTCGGATCGACCCTGCTGAGCCTCTTCCTTCCTTCGATTGTGACAGACAGTACCAGATATCTGTAGTCATTTAGTGAAGGCGAGTCAGAATGTATCCCCATAGGGAAAAAAGGCGGACGCACGTCATGTAACTCGCTGCACGGATATCCTTCTCGCCGTCTCCTTCGTTCCATCCCTCCGGGAGCGTGCGGACCTCCTCCACACAGCAACCTTCCCAGGTCCAGCAAGAGCTGCTTCACATCATTATGTCCGTCGTACTATGGACCTCGTCTCCAAGCCTTCGCAGTCCCACGCGCTAGGTCGAGGTAGGCACAGCCGATTCACACGAGGCAGCTTGATCTTCGCGCTGTTGTTGCTGACTAAAAGTCAGGACTTGTTGGATTCGGAGCACTGTAGGTGGAAGTTGCCGGCGGCATTGAGAGCATATATCAGATGGTTGGTCGAGAGCAAAACGCATCCAGACACGAGAGCGGTCGGCGTTAGCGCAACCCATCAATTCGGTGTTTCCCGCCAACACCTTCTCCGCGTCTGAGGCTGCCTCTTGACCATGATCATTCCCTAAGACAAAGTTCTTACGCGACATCTCTATACCCCTCAACATGATCTTCGCCCGTGAAAATACAGCCCTGTCTATCCTGCAATCGCTCGTCTGCTCTCTTTAGGCGTAAACGCCCTATGTGTGCGCTCAGCAGCGCAATGTTGAATCGCACCCCGACCCGCCAGAACCCGCGAGCCAACGACGTCCGGCCGGCGAACACCTCGCCATCGAACTACGACGATGTCCTCGGCTTCTAGATATGCCTGTACAGGACACGAGAAGCTAGGGACTCGTTTCAACTCGACGTATCCCTCCCTCTCTCGAGGTCGCCGAACGCCTCACCAAAGATGGTCGTCGTTTTCCCGCGTTTGCTTCGTTTGAGCCCGAGCCAGTGGTTATGTCGCCGATTCCACTGGAACCTCAGGCCCGCGCACAGCGTGGCTGCCTACATTTGCCGTGTTCACGAAGAGCACAGCTCGTCTGCACACCGATTCCCTGATGCAACGATGTAGCGTCGGAAGAGGGCCATCGGCGTATAAATGGCTCGTCCGAATTATCATGACAACTCGCCTACTTCTTCCGTTATGGAGGCAGCCGATCCGACTTATCCTTTTCTGCCTATCGCCTGCCTCTTGTCTTCTGTCATGCTACTTCTCGTGCTCATGACCAGCTTCATCCGTCAGAGATGGAACTTAGGCGTTACCTTCTTGTGCTTTTGGCTCTTCATCGAGAACATCACAAGTGCTGTTAGCGCTGTCATATGGTCGGACAATGCCGACGTCAAGCTTTACGTCTACTGTGACATTGGTATGTCCATGTGTCTCCTGTGCACCTTTCACTGAGATGACCTCACACGTCGCACTAGTCACTCATCTGCAAATCATTGCAGCCATAGTCAAGCCCATGGCGACGTTGATCATTACACGCCGACTACATCTCATTGCCAGTCTGGAATCAGTCGAACTTCCCAGCAGAGCCGCGGTATGCATATCAAATCCTTCCTCGACGGGCCAATGCTAATGATGAATCAGAGGCGCCGTGATCTTGCAATAGAATGGACACTCGGTCTCCTATGTCCGCTTCTAGTGGCCGGTCCCATCTGTCAGTCGTCTGAAGCTGCGATCCTTGTGCTCTCTGCTCACTCCACCCATAGACTACGTGGATCAGGGTGCTCGTTTCACGATCTATGAAGGATCTGGGTGTGCAACTGCTGAGGAGGAATCTATACTAGAGGTTCTCATCCAGGAACTCTGGTCAATCGTCCCTCCCCTGATATCTGTCATAGTTTACTACCGTGAGTCATCCATATCCCTGCTGAACCATGTCCTCTACTGACGGGCTGGCTCAGCAAGAGTAGTGAGAACGTACTACCGCCAAAGCAAAGACATCAACAGCTTCTTACGCAGCAACCCCTCGATCTCACGCACGAATTACCTCCGGATTCTGATCCTCGCCAGCATCGACATCCTATTCATACTGCCCATCGGCGTCGTAAACGTCGCGCTATACATAAGCGCTACACTATCCCCTCCCAAGTACTTGCCCTTCTATCCCGGCTGGGCCTTCCTTCACGCCGATTGGACACCCGTAAGCTTTCCCTACGCCGAGCAACAAGCCAGTCTCGCGACTCTGGCGCAGAACTACTTCATCAATTGGACATCTCCCGTCCTCGCATTCGTCATATTCGGTCTGTTCGGCGCGACGGCCGAAGCGCGTGCCTCGTACTGGCGCATCATCTGCACCGTCGGAGGCTGGCTGGGATGGAAGCCTACCCTTCGCGCGCGGAACGGACGAGCGTCGCTGGGAGAGATCAACTTCGGCGCGCGACCGCGGGAAACCGGCACGTCGGGGCTCGACCTGGAGATGGGGTACGTGCCATCCGCTTGCTGGCCAAAGCTATTCTCATCACTCTACGCAGATCGCGTCCGCCTAGTTTCGTTAATACCCAAGTGACCGCTATGAGACTGGACGTGAATGAAGGGTCGGGTGACGGGTCGGCGACGGACCTGAAGTCGATTGGGGAAGCGCGTCTTCAAGAACTTCTAGACGGCAAGGACACGGAGTACGTCTACTCTCTGTGCAACGCTTACATGCTTGCTTACGCTATTCTTTGCGCAGAATCGACGGTCGTCCTGTCGGCAACGGTGGCAGCGAACCATTCAGAAACCTGGAGAGAACGAGCGGCTCAAGCGTCTACTCGACTGTGCCGCCTCGGACGCCTGGCGGCACCAGGGGCGTTTGTGAGGTCACTACGGATGCGTGATAAGTACGACGCGCAGGGGTGTTCGCTTCGGTGGGCAACGAAAGGGTGCGTCCACGCCTCTTACATCGTTGTGTATTCCACAAACTTACACCTCGCGCAGTGTTCGCGGCGACAGGTTTCGACCTCCCAGTCGCCAGCCCGCTCACGTCTCAATATGGTTAACCGGATTCGCGTAGGAGGCACTTGGTTCTTGGATTTTCACGCTGGTCGGGTACCTTGCACGAATATGGATACATAGTGCTATATATACTACTAATATCAATAGTATCGTCGTCCTGTCTCGTACTTGTACGCTATATGGAGCATGTAATGCAATCGCGGAGCGCCTGATGCCTTGTGTCTGACGCTAAGTCTGTGGCTGCGGGTGGAAGCCTTCCTGCCTCCAGTTTTGACGCTTCAAGCTTCAAGCTTCGAGTTTGACCAGGATCGTGAGCGCAGTCAAGATGGTCGGCGAGCCAAGTTGCGTCGAAGGAGTCTGCCGGAGTCCGGAGCTGCAAATCGAGATCTTAGGACACGCAATGAGCCAGGAGATACACAAGAGACGTACAATTGAAGTCGTTGCCCTACCGGGTCCTTGGTCATCGTCACCTCCACCTTGCCTCTCCGCGAGCGCGTACTCGATGTGAGGACCAATCCGCTCCTCGTGTAGCAATAAGGTCTATTCTACCTCATGCTGCCGTCTAGAGGTTTGGTAGTCCTCACACCCACTCGTTCTTTCAATCGGACCCACGCCCCGCGCCAGTCCCAGTTTTGCTCCGTATGTCTAAGCGTCGGGAAAGCCGAGCGGATCCGCGCTGCATTGTTGAGGCCGGCGGTATTTGGGCTTGTCACATTCAGCGTATGAAAGTCGAAGACATTGCGAGTTAGTCTCCCGTAGGCAGACTCATGTGGGAAGGTGTACAAGATGGCGGCAGAGAGCAAGGGCAGGTACGCGATCTCGGAGTGACGACGGATCCGCCGCCCAAACCGTGGGATCTGTTGCAGCATGTTCCGACTTGCTTCATACCATGATGATCAAATACGTGTGGACCCTCACAAGATACTATCCGTACTGGACTTGAGTTTCTCGGAGTGACGCCGAGCTACACCTGTTCTAAGGCGGTGAGCAAGAGCTTTGCGACTGGACTCGCGAGCTCGCCGAAAATGAGTGTGGTCATCGTGAGGAGCTCGTACCTCTACCCTATGCAGGTCATACTGAAACCCTTCCCACCCCTTCAAACAGAGTTTCTTCTCTCAGATTACCTCGATACAGATGTGATATCTACTAGGCCTGACACTGATGATGGTTTGGGCGGCAGAAGAGCCAAAGCGCATTCATTGAAAGGTGCCCTGAGGAGATGCGGACAGGACCCGTAGTGCCTTTACTCAAACTACTGTCTATACACCGGACGGGTAGACATGGTGATCCCAAACATTTGCATATCTAGTTTCGGAGCTTATGCACGATCTCACTACATACCCTTCCGGCGTACGGTGGCGGAATATGTTTACGCCTCGCCAAAGCCCTCAGGCCCGTCGGCAGATCCTACACCTGTGGGAGCCAGGTTATATAGCCTCGATCTATCTTCGAAGATAAACTGTCATCCTTTCACTTCAGAATGGGGGTTGTCGATCCTTCGTACCCTCTACTCCCCACTGCATACATATTATCCTCTGTCATGCTATCTTTGGTGCTAATGACTAGCTTCGTTCGAGAAAGATGGAATCTAGGCGTCGCTTTCTTATGCTTCTGGCTTCTCGTCGAGAATATCTCCAACGCTGCGAGTGTCATCATATGGTCGGACAACGCCGATTTGAAGCTGTACGTCTTCTGTGATATCGGTACGCCCATCGTACAACCTTTTTGAACACTCTTCTCAACTGAGCTGACAACGGCGGAACGACAGTTACTCATATTCAAGAAATCGCATTCGTCGTGAGACCTATGGCAACACTGATCATTACACGTCGACTGTATTTGATTGCCCGGCTTCAGTCCGTGGAGCTTCCCAGCAAAGCAGCGGTAAGTGACTCGATGGTACTCTCGGACTGGCAGCTGAATGACGAGTAGAGACGACGGGATCTGGCCATAGAGTGGACTCTAGGGCTAGGTGCTCCCTTGTTTGTGGCTAGTCCTATATGTGCGTGCTTGCATATCAAGAGGGAGCTCGTAATAAATGACCGTGAATGCAGACTATGCGAATCAGGGCGCTCGCTTCGAGATCACGGAAGGTTTTGGTTGCACGACGGGCAATGACACTTCGATACTCGCGCTCCTGATCGAGGAATCCTGGTCAATCATTCCTCCCCTAATTTCCATCACGTTCTACTACCGTAAGCCGGCTGATCAAACACTATACTCGTCTGATGTTGAGTATCACCGTAGCTAAGGTGGCAAAACTATACTATCATCAAAGAAAGGACATAAACAACTTCCTACGCAGCAATGCCTCAGTCTCGCGCACAAATTACATGCGCATACTCGTTCTCGCCAGCATCGATCTCTGGCTCACATTGCCCATCGGCATCGTGAAGATCGTTCTGGAGGTAACATACGCACTATCTCCTCCCAAGTACTTCCCCTTTTACCCTGGTTGGCACCACCTGCACTCTGAATGGGGACCGGTTTCCGTAACCTACGCTGAGCAGCAATCCGATGGTACCGCAGATCTAGCTCAGAGCTACTTCAGTCACTGGTCGACAAACATCATCGCATTTGCCATCTTCGGCTTGTTCGGCCTCACTTCCGAAGCTCGCGCATCGTACTGGCGCATCGTCTGCACAATCGGCGGTTGGTTCGGATGGAAACCTACACCGAGCGCGCAGAATGGGCGGGGACCATTGGGAGAGATCGAGTTCGGGGTGCGGCCGCAGGACAGTATTAGCACGTCGGACTTCGATCTCGAGATGGGGTACGTGCCGTCCCATCCACGTGCTGAGACGATTGTCATTCATCTGAGCAGGTCGCGTCCTCCGAGCTTCGTCAACGCAGATGCAGCGGCTGCGAAAAGGGAGATTGAAGATGCCATGGGTGGTAGGTCGGTCCGCGCCTCAACGACTGATTCGCAGTCGACTAAGGAAGATCATTGCAACGAGCTTGTAGGCGATGCATACATGCAGTACGTATACCCTATGCGTTCTTGTCCAGTCACGCTGATCATTGCGTAGAGCCGCCAATCATCGCGACACAAGTACGAGTGGCGATGAACAACTTGACGTCCTCGAGAGCGGCAACGTCGCAATCGTTCGCTCGGTTCAGCTGATCCAGTCCCAGAGCGCATCCTGGGATGCGGACGTTCGTACAGTGCATGAGGCCGACACGCGCGGGTGCGATGACCACAACCTCTTGACTGCTTGAGGGTGTTGACTGCGCCGACTCATATTTCCTTGCGTATAGAAGTCTCGGAGGTGGACAGCCTCAAACGCAGGTCGCTTGAGTGCAGCGCGTGGTCTAATCCACGATTCCTTATGCGATCACACGTGAATTAGCCCCACGGGACAGTAGACTCGACAACTCCGATATGCAGATGGTATCCACTGATGACATGAGCGATGGTACAGACACGTGAAGCTTTTCTAGGAGGCATGCGTAGCTGTATTGTACACAACCTGAGAGCTCAACCTACCATCGCAACACCGCCAGACTGAAAAAGCCTGCCCTGCACCTCCTCGTTGGACCGATCGCGCGAGACAAGCAACCCTTGAGCCCAGGAGCACCCGTCAGAGTTGCGGTCCGTAAACCGTAAGCGGTTCCACGACGGTTGAAATTGGCATCTGAACTGCGAGCTTGTAAGACTGGACACCGGTAAAGATGTTGGAACTACGTACTGTTCGGTTCACTGTCACACTCTCCGTCTCTCCTTCACTGCGGGCTCCTCGAATATCGTGCTCGCACGTGCAGAGCTAGACGCGCTGATTCATCGGCGCGCGAAGGGTCTTCTCGCCAGCCATAGCGATGAAAGGCCGGTAAGTGCGGCGAAAGATAGCTCGGAAAGGCTGGGGGCATCAAGTCGTTGCTCCTGGCATCGCGTCTTGTACTATCGCGTACAGGCTGCATTACGGGCTAGTCCGAGTCCGTCTTTACGCTGGCGTGTGAAGACGATCAGACAGCGCAATCAAATACGTTCGAGGCCAGGCCCCGACGTCCAGATTTGAGCGCACAAGATGGCCGAGGATGCAAGGTGGAGGGTCAGAAGGGGCGGGGCTAATGATGCCGGGTCGGATGCCGGTGTCTTTGATTCCTCGAGTGTAGATGGGCTCTAGCTTCGTCGGGCGGTTTCTATGCTTATGTGTGCTGAAGTGGTCGCCTACATCGCAGGACGTCGTTAGTGGTCGTAGTAGATGAGTTTGCAGAGGTACACACTTCATTTCTTCGCAGGTTCCAGCCCTCCATACGCGAGTCGCCAAACCCACAGATCCCACTACGCAATCGCATAGAGCTCACCAGCCTCTCACAATGTCCTTATAACGCCTCGTAAAGCGCAAAGGCAAGATGTGGCCACGCGAGCGCGAGCTTGAACTTGGGATCTTTGTCTTCATCAGTGTGCCGGCGAAGAGTATGAGGCTGGCACGCTCAGAAGCTCATGCAACGTCGAAGACATCGCAGAAGAGTTTCAGAGTGAGATGGTTGCCAGAGAGCTGAGCGTTGCGCGTGAGGATGGTCGTCGTTGATGTCAATCGCGTCGCCATTGAGCGCGGCGGTTGCCGTTCGTCTTTCTCAGACGCTCGCGCCGCGCGCGTCTAACGCGCGCACGAGCTGCTTCTTACCACGATCACCAATGCATGTGTACCGCTTTACGAATACTTCGACCATCAGGACACAACTCATGCATGGTGCTTCGAACTTTATCCTCGAGCGCCGTACCTACGTATTGGGATGCCAACTTGGTGACGCAGACGCCCTCACCTAAGTATCTTGCGCGGAAACCTCGCAACAGAGGTGATGGCTGGATGGTTGCACCCAAAAGGCGTGTTTCGGGCGGACTTGGAGGATGCTGGCTCTACGTATTTGCTCCGGTATGGATCAGAACGACGGCTGAATACAACAATCATCCCTGTACTCGTCACGGATTGTATGAAGGAGTTCCGATGCGGAAGACACACTGTTAATTGCTGCGCTTTAGTATGTGCTATACAGGTATGGACGCTTGTATGGTATTGCTGCGCGTGCCTTCTACGTACGCGGAGAGCATATGTTCAATCTTCATAGTGAACCTGCTGGCTGGCGGTGCGAAAACGGAACGTAATGCGTATATATCGCTCATACAGCCCACGAAGGCTACCCAGTTACCTCTTCCAGTATGGGCGCAGTCGATCCGACTTTCCCGCTGTACCCAATCGCGTGTCTGCTGTCGTCTATCATGCTGTGTCTAGTCCAGATGACGAGCCTCGTCCGGCAGAGATGGAACCTTGGCGTCGCTTTCCTTTGCTTCTGGCTATTCCTGGAGAATATCGCAAACGCTGTGAACGCCATTGCTTGGTCAAATAATGCCGACATCAAACTTGAAGTCTACTGCGATATTGGTACGTGCATGTATTGATATCCTTCGTATATCGTGACCAAGAACACATTAGTCTCCCATCTGCAACTCATCACATACACGGTTAAACCCCTGGCAACGTTCATTATTACCCGCCGATTATACGTGATCGCAAGCTTCGAGTCCGTAGAGCTCCCGAGCGGATCGGAGGTACGACATGCAATTGCCACTCTGGCGGGGCTGAGCGCTGAGCATTCAAGCAGAGACGATGGGATACTGCCATAGAGTGGACACTAGGGCTGGCGGTTCCTCTACTCGTAGCTGGTCCTTTGTGTGAGTGACCGCATTGAATGACGTCGATTACTGTGCTGATGCTGGATTGTAGACTATGCGAACCAGGGCTCGCGATTCAACATCTATGAAGGCTCTGGGTGCTATACAGGCACCGTGTTATCGATATTCGAAATCCTGGCCTTGGAGTCGTGGACGATACTCCCTCCCTTGTTCTCCATCGCGATTTACTATCGTAAGTTGCTCAGCGATACAAGACTCTTCTTCGTACTCATTATGCGATCCACCTTAGCCAAGATCATCAGGACATACTATCACCAGAGCAAAGACGTCAACAATGTTCTGCACGGCTTGAATCCCTCAGTCTCGCGCACAAATTACCTACGCATACTCGCTCTTGCCAGCATCGACATCTTGCTCACTTTGCCCATCGGCATAGTCAATATCACTCTGGATGTAGTAACGACGCTGCCCTATGGCAGCCTTCCATTTTATCCGGGGTGGACCTTCCTGCACTCCGATTGGACGATATTGACCGCATCTTACGCCGAGCAGCAATCCTTCGGTACTGCATACCAAGTAGGATTATACTTTTCAGCCTGGACATCGCCCGTCCTCGCGTTCACCATATTCGGCCTTTTCGGCCTTACGTCCGAGGCCCGCTCAACGTATCGGCGCATCATTTGCATCATCGGTAGCTGGCCAGGATGGGAACCCGCTCGAGCCCAAGATGGAACGGCCTCGCTGAGAGATACAGAGTTCGGGGCGCGGCCGCGGGACACCGGCAGATTTGGATTCGACTTCGAGATGGGGTACGTTTCATGCGCCATCTACTCCCTCAGACCAATCTCACTCCGAGTCCTTCGGACAGATCCCGCCCTCCGAGCTTTGTCAATACAGATATGATGACCGCGAGACAGGATGTCCAAGGCGAGCCGAGCGCTGGGTTAGCTCGGGGATCAACGGAGGTTCCGAGTTTCTCGCTGGAGGAAGCGCGTCACGAAGAGCTTTCTGGTGATGCAGGCGTCCGGTACGACCTCTCTCTGCGCGTTGTTTGTGGGCGTGTGTTCACACTATGATTTGCGCAGAGCCTCCGAGATGGCCCAGAGAACGCACATCACGAGCACCCGCTCGTTTGAAGGCGCTCAGATCTCCTGCGCTGCGGACGGCATCGACATCGAGAACCCCGCGATGGGACCGCAACGCGACGTACAGGATGCTGGCGGCGCGTTCGCTCAGTCATCGGCGGCCCCCGTCTGAGGACGCCCTCTCTCTATCTCAAGGATATTTCCGCCCTCGGACGTTTGGCGCCTAATAGCCACCCTAAAGCTCTGGCTTCGCTCATTCTCGCTTTGTACTCCGGGTATTGTCACGTGAACTAGACTCACACAATACAGCGCCCATTGCCTGAGTGCAAGCGTGTTAAATATACTGTCTGCCAGCCCATGTGTCGATAGGTAATGTGTACGCAGTGGACTACTTCGTTCTCGTTCGACGAGTGAAATTGGAGCGCCGGCCATCGTTCAATCATATGGAAAGGTTGTGCACAATTCGATCTGTAGGACGCTGCGTAGGACGAGACCGTACAAATATCAAACTCGAGACGGGGGGATGCCTGAGTGAATCGATCTCTGCGAGGATGAGGTCTTCGGGTCTCCCCTTCTCGTCCGTGTACGAGAGGCCAGTCATGCACAGGTAAATCGCAACAGTTACACTGCAAGCTCGTTGAGAAGACACAGGTCATTGTGGAAGAAACACGTACGTTTCGGCACATCACGATGAAGGCCTCCTACTCGCATTCGTCGCAAGCAGGCCCGAGCGCATGAGTAGGTAGTAGCACCAGCGCACCCGTGCAAAGGGTATCAACAAGAAGTTCCAGTCATGGGCACAGGACCCAGTTGGTACGATGGAAGGTGCCGTCGGCTTGAAGTGGCGGACCGTGGCACTTCGCTGCAGGACGTTATCATTATGCGGCTACTTGGGATGGACACCGTCCGTGCCTGTTGAAGTTTCGCCTGGCGGTCGTCGTAGGAGGTGATGCTCGAGGTCGGGTGTATGGTGCGAACAGTCAAGGGTCGTCGCGAAGGGGGACTGGCTGAGTGGCCGGCCATTGCCGACGGGGGCCATTATGCAGCTCGACTCGCGCAACCGGATGGCCATATCCTATGCAAAGGAGTGACGAGTCGCGGCAGAGGGTCGCAGAACGGCGAAGAAGTTCCGGGGGCAGGTCTATGCATGCATCAAGCTAGCCGTTCTGGTGATATGTATAAGTCAGTGCCCGCGGTCCTGCGAAGACTAAAATAATGCAACGCACATCTTCTAAAACGCCATGACCGTTGCCCGCCTTCGACTACGCGCTCTCATATATCGTCGTGACGTGTGAACCGAATGCGCGCGAGACCAGCCGCTGGCATCTCGCTGACCAGAGTCAAAAGCCGTAGGAAGACAAACAAGTACACCCCGCGGGGCGCGATGATAGTCGTGGTCGATGACAGAGCGGTGCTCTGGCCCGTTGCGCAGTTTCGCTTCGAACGGCAGCTGCATGACGGCGGTTTGCCTCTCGCCATGAGTGCCCATTCCTACAGCCAATATATTCTGCGACGGCGCTAGCTGGTCCATATTCAAATGTTGCAAGCACGTCATGGCTTGATGATCGAGTTTGCTACTCGCGGAGTAGATACCGGTAAGCCCGTGGTGTTCGGCTTTGAGGTTCGTTTCTCGGCATGATCACCAGTTCCTATAGTGCTATTGAGGGCTATCGCCTCACACGTTCTGATGCTGAAGTATAGCACGATAAGCTTGATGCTCCTCTGGAACTTTCGCTACTGAGATTCGTGCAACTTCGGCTTGCGACAGTCTCAGCAGTCGTAACACCAACATCACATCGCGCCGCGAAGCACACCGGATATGATAATCTAGGTGATCGCCTGCGGAAGCGTCCCATGTGTGGACAGTACTAGTATCGACGTAAATGCGAGGGAATCGTTCCGAAGTACAACACAGTTGTCGCCCACTCCAGGCTGGCCACCCATTCAGCTTACAACATGGGCACGGTCGATCCAACCTATCCGCTCTACCCCGTTGCTAGTGTTCTTGCTTCAGCAATGTTGCTGCTGGTGCTGCTGACCAACTTCGTCCGCCAGAAATGGAACCTAGGTGTCTGGTTCCTGACCTTCTGGCTCTTCTTCGAGAACGCGACCAACGCCATCAATGCCTTTGTATGGTCCGACAACGCCGACATTAAACTGTATGTGTACTGCGATATCGGTATGTTGCCATGATGCTCCCTCTGCGCACTCTCCATTGAACGCTGCGTAATGACAGTTACCCATATCCAAATCATCACATATATCGTCAAGCCTATGGCGACGCTGATCATCACTCGCCGGCTGTACCTCATTGCCACCCTCCAGGCCGTAGAGCTTTCCAGCAAGTCAAAGGTATGGCCTCTGGTCTCTGGCTTTATCTTTGGCGAAGCTGAGCATGAGAGTAGCGACACTGGGATCTGGCGATAGAGTGGACTCTCGGACTTAGCATTTCCTTGCTCGTAGCGGGCCCTATATGTGAGTACCCGCGTGTCGTGCCTCAATGGGATCCTATTTATCCTTCACGCAGACTATGTGAACCAGGGCACTAGATTCAGTGTCTTCGAAGGCTTCGGATGCTGTGCGGACAACGCGATATCAATACTCGAGATCCTAATCTTGGAGTCCTGGACGATCATTCCCCCTCTGGTCTCCGTCACGTTTTACTACCGTAGGTCACTCAGCTCACCACTGGGCCCCACGGACATTGACAGCCGCTCTAGCAAAGGTGGCAATACTGTACTATCGCCAGAGACAAGCCGTCAACAGCTTCCTCCGCAGCAACCCCTCCGTCTCACACACGAACTATCTTCGTATACTCGCTCTTGCCAGTATCGACATCTTGCTCACATTGCCCTTTGCCATCGTGTCCATTGCTCTCACCATCGCGCAGGCGCTGGAATCTTCGTCCTCATTTTCGTTTTATCCTGGCTGGACCTTCCTACACACGGACTGGGAACCGGTGGCTATTCGCTACGTCGAGGTATCATCCGACACTGCCTACCTCGCGCAACTCTACTTCAACAACTGGACATCCCCCATCCTCGCGTTCGCCATCTTCGGCCTCTTCGGCCTAACATCCGAGGCGTGTACATCGTACTGGCGCGTCATCTGCACCGTTGGCGGCTGGTTCGGATGGAAGCCCTCGGTGCGAGTGCGCGACGGGCCGCCATCGCTCGGAGAGATTGAATTCGGCGCTCGAACGCAGGACAGTGGCATGTCGGGATCCGATCTCGAGGTGGGGTGCGTACATAAGATGTACATGACACGGCCGCATCTGACTGACCTGTGCAGGTCGCTCGCACCGAACTCAATGTGTGGCGATGCACCTATCTCGAACCGAGTTGTTCAGTTTGCATCGGTCGAAGAAGCCTCGCTACGGCGCGAGGCAGATCTGAAGTCGGCGGGAGAAGCGCGTGGTGTGCATGGACCTGTTGATGATGCAAGGGTGCAGTACGACCAGTCGTGGCGCACTTCGGAACGATCTCTGACATGTTGCTCACTTCTCAGGTATCGAACGGAAGATCATTTGCCGGTGATGAAGAACGTATCGAGTGTCATGCAGCTCTGCTCGTATCCGTGCGCTCAGAAGCATATCACCGGTGGCGAGAGCAAGGATCTCAGCACCATATGATTATTCTACGCCATGGTAGACATCGTACGATGTACATACGAAACGCAGCTTCGCAAGCTATCAAAATGGAGTGTGACTAGTTGCAAGACTCGGTTGTGATGCGTCCGATCCTGACAGCGCCGAAGGAGCATATTTGGTTGGACAAAAGATGCACCCTGTTGTTGCGATATCCGGCCTTGCGCACACCGTCCACCATGACCGTACACGTCCGCGGATGACTACCTTCAGCACTGTGCGCGGCGCCGAGGGACAACGAGATTGTGCCCAAGTTGTGGCATACGGGTGTACGTGAACAGGCCGTGGGATATGAGAAGGCGCCGAATATGGAACAGTGTTGGCGAATCTCCCGCCTCTGTTGAGCTTGGGATGTCCAGTAGCAGTGCGACTAGCACTCCAGCTGTTGCAAGATATTATTAGGAGTTTTGTGCAAGGCGACGGAGGGAATCAACGTACCTCTATGCCTCATGCGTCGCGGCCGTCGTGTGCACCTTCTCCGCATACTTCCGTCGGAGCATACAACAGGCCTTAGAAAGAGCAGCTAGAGCTACAGTCAGCCCTGATCGGGGTCTGAGTTCGGGTGATATACTCACAACACTCATCTGAACGGTTGTAGCCGGTCTTGAGCGTCCTTGAGCTCATTCATGGAATCGCCCCCTCATGTCCGTGGTGCCCGCAAACAAGCTCCGAGCGGTAGGTTTGACGTCCTCCCTCATTCGCACTGCGACCAACGTGCTCCATTCTCTATGGTACGCATGCACCCTGCAGGTCGCGCGCTGTAGGGCTACGTGAAACTAGCAGCTAGTGACTTCTCGCCAACCTAGCGCCGTCGGTCCCGGCTCAAGGGTTGACCTTGAGATGTTCGAAGGAGACGAAGAACGACCTTGAGGGGTAGCCATCGGGTCCGGGCACAGATTGCGGGAGGGTGATCATAACATGAAGCGCGGCTGAGATGATGGTGGTGTTCTCGCGGGCATTGCTCTCGCGCGGTGAAGCCCGGCTTTTCCCGCCAACGTCTTCCCAGCGTTGGAGGCTTGGGCCCCTGTCGTGCTTCCTGCCATTGCGAGCTCACGTTTGAGTTGGTGTGCTTCCCAATCTTGCGTGCTTGAACCGCTCTACTTCCACCTTGCTTCCACCCTGTACCTATAGATGACGGTTGACGCCTTGCTGACTACCGTGCACCTTGACAAGTGCCGAATATCAGGCGAATCGTGACGTTCGGCTGGCAAACCCCTCATAATCGAGCTATTCTTCCATCTGCATCTATGAATGCTATGCTTGCTACTAGAGCGCTAGAGTTATCCCAACTCCACCAACCTGCTACGCTGTGCGGTTGTCCGAGAGTTTGTTATGAAACATGTCCAACGTTCTCCTCTGAGATGTGTCACCCACGAGTAGATTGGACTGGCTTCGACGCCGATCTTAAGTATCTACATGCCGCGTAGTGTACAAATAACCGTGTAGCAGTATCTCGCAGTGGATTGGAGGTATAAATGGCTCGCTCAGTCGAGAAGGATCATGCCAGTCCGTCTTGCAGACATGGGTGCCGCTGCAGATCCGACGTACCCACTCTATCCCGTTGCCAGTGCTCTAGCTTCTGTGATGTTGCTATTGGTGCTTACGACCAGCTTCGTTCGCCAAAACTGGAACCTGGGTGTCGCTTTTCTCTGCTTTTGGTTGTTTCTCGAAACCCTGACCGGTACTATAAACCACGTCATATGGTCCGATAACGCCGATGTGAAGCTGTACGTCTACTGTGATATTGGTACGCATGTGTACTGCACTTTACGCACACCCATTGACTGAAATCACGATCCTCGTAACAGTCACGCATATACAAATCATCGCATACATCGTCAAACCAATGGCGACACTGATCATTACACGCCGACTATACCTGATCTCCAGTTTCCAGTCAGTAGAGCTTCCGAACAAATCGAAGGTATGCCTCATAGTCTTCTCATTTAGCTCGACTGACGTCAGATCAGAGACGCTGGGATCTCGCCATAGAGTGGACTCTTGGGCTAGGCATCCCGTTGCTGGCGGCCGGTCCTATCTGTGAGTGCTTGCATGTCATGCCATTGATACTACTACTAAATCATTACGCAGATTACGCAAACCAAGGAGCTCGGTTCGAAGTCTATGAGGGTTTTGGATGTTCAACGGGCGATGAGCTGTCCATACTAGAGATTTTGACTTTCGAGTCCTGGATCATTGCCCCTCCCTTGGTCTCCATCACATGCTACTTCCGTAGGTCACTCGATCTATCCCTGTGCATATCTGACGTCATGATCTTTAGCGAAGGTGGCGAAGATGTACTACCACCAGAGAAAAGACATCAACAGCTTCTTGCGCAGTAACCCGTCGGTCTCGTGCACGTACTACATCCGGGTACTGATCATGGCCAGCATTGACATCTTGCTCACATTGCCCTTTACGATCGTGAATATCACCCTGGCTATAACGCAGACGCTGGACAATCTCGCATCCTTCCCGGTATACCCCGGCTGGACCGTCCTGCACACCGACTGGGAACCGTCCTCTGTATCCTATACCGAGCAGCAATCATATGGCACGGCATATCTGGCATCGACGTACTTCTCTCAATGGTCATCCCTCATCCTGGCATTCGTTATCTTCGGTCTCTTCGGCCTGACGTCTGAGGCGCGCGCATCGTACTGGCGCATCATCTGCACCATTGGCGGTTGGTTCGGATGGAAGTCTATCCCTCGGGCGCGGAACGGGCGACTCGGAGCATCGCTCGGAGAGATCGAGTTCGGCGCTCGACCGCGGAGCACCAGCGCGTCAGGATCTGATCTTGGAATGGGGTATGTGCCACCCACGTACCTGAGATAGTACTCATGGCTTCGAGCAGATCGCGACCTCCTAGCTTGGTTGCCGATGGTGGTGACGGTAAATCGGCATACATGTCGGCCACGGATCTGAAGTCGCTGGAGGAGGCTCGCCATGAGGAGACATCGGGTGACACGAACTCACGGTGGGTCCATACGCTATGTGATGTCCACATTGGAGTATTGTCAGCGCGTCAGCTCACACCTCTTTATTCAGAAACATCAATGGCCCGGGACAGAATATGGCTACCGCCACGTCGTCTGTGAACTCCCAAGGCAATGTTGTCGGAGGCGCGCCTCCGTTCGAGCTGCATCAGAGTCTACACACCACTCAAGACGTCGGCAGAGGCCCGACAGACGGGTTCATGTCCGGGAGGGGTGAGGTGGAGATGTTGACCGCACTCCGAACAGCCGATGGTTCGAAGGTGAGCTCACTGCGCATGCCCCTAATATTATTGTCGGATGCACGGGGCCATCTCACGCTCGAGGCAGATTCGCAACGAAAGTGAGCTCGACGTCGGCTTAGAGGGCATGTAAATCGGGGGTTCACCGTGGCTTGCTTTTGAGACCATGGGTGTACGTGCCTCGCACACGAAAGAATAGGTAGTGCTTGCTTTCCTGCAGTCGTTTCAGTGGACTTATTGCTCTTGCTGTACTGCTTCGTACTGGCCAATTATGATAGAAGCCCCAAACCCCTAATGCTATGTACATCGAGCACAGTTGAGAGAGGGGCTAAAGACAACGCCGCCACCCGTGATTCCGCTTCTTTCAGCGTCTCCGTTTCGTTGCTTTGACTATCGTTCCCCGCAAGAGTGCTCGCCTTCTTCCGCCTCCGACCTTATAGTCTGCAACACCATGCTCTGAGAGGCGCTGAATGCGCACAGGCTGGCGCGCGTCGTGGAAGTTGGACCATGCTCTGCGCAAATGTGTCAGACGAGTTAGTTGAAAAGACCGCCAAAAAACGCACGCGTGACATATCGTCCTCTCCTTTGCACTGACAATTTGTTACGGGCATACACATATGTTTACGAGCAGAAGGAAGTGTCGGGAGGGGCTACAACCATTCGTTCAACTCGAAACAGAGATAGGGAGGCTGGCCGCCGAACTTCTGGTACAAGTGAGTAGTGAAGTCGGCCTATGTATAGGCAACATCGTGGAGGAGGGTGGCCGACGGCAACATTGAGGACGGGTATCAGGTCGCAGATGGCGGTTGAAGCCAAAGCACGCCAAAGCGCGAGCGCGCAGGTGACGGTTTCCGTTCGCCGCGCGCGGGGACGCGGACACGGTTTGCCTTCGACCATCATGCATAAGTGTCATAGGGCCGCACGCGGCGAAACCCGCTACGGTTATTGACCTATCAACTGCCTTGCCGGCTCGCATTTCCATCGAAGCTCGTGAACGTCGCGCGATCGGACTGGCGCCAATTCAAGTTCAAAGCGGCAGGGTGATCACGCGGCACTTGAGAGTGTAGCCTGTCTGCAGGAGCCTCAGACACGCTGCGTGATTCAGTACTACAAACACTATGTCCGCCAGGTCCATTCATGCGACGATGGCGCGTCTATAATCTTACGCGAGCTCACCGTGCCCGTCGTGTACCCAAATTGCTCAACACAACTTGCACGAACGCACCGCTGGAGATCTCGACGGAGATCCGCAGAGTGGCCCTTGTACACTCTCCAGACAGCCAATAATTCTCCCGCGTCACCACTGGTATTGAGCGAGTGCATGTTTCCAGCGTACGATCGTCAGGATGACCCTCAGAGAGTCTACGCAGCCTCTTCGCATTCGCGAGCTTCAGGTAGACCATGGTGTTTCATCCGGAGTAACTCTGCCGGAAAGTAGACGGACACCTTCACAGCGCAAGATCGACGAGGTGCGCTCACCTCGAGCCGCGTTCCGCGCCTCTCGGATTCGCGCACCGAATGGTTTGCAAACCCTCCCTACCTTGTCTGCAGACGATCACCTTATGTGAGGTGGAAAAGAGAGACTGGGAAGAGGTATGGCGCTGTAGCTAAGATATACGGCATACGGCAGAGCTCGTTAGCTGCACCGTCGAGCTTGCACGGATCCGAAGTAGTTGGTGGCAATCATTGGAGTATATGACACGGTGGCCCTTAGACTGGCAGGTCCCGCAGATATGTGCAGAGACACTCGCAGCCATGTATGACAGGAATTAAGCACGCGGTCATTTCCCAACACATATACCGTGCTCCTACTGCGTAGAATGAAGGGAATTGGAGCCAGGCTTTGTCGCTGCTGTTCAACCCTAACCCTAGAAGCCGCCGGAGCGTCCGACGGCCTTACGACATCAGGCACAATTTGCAGGCACGCTCAAACGCCAGCCAAAAGCGATGTTGCTTTCGTGAAACCAAGACCCACTACTAACGTAGCGGGAATAACAATCTAGGATATTCACTCATCATCCATACGTTCTACCAAATCTCAGGAAAAAGAAGCAGAGCGCAGGTTCCTGTATCACAATCATTTCATGGAGCCTTTCCTCTTCACAATCCAGGGCCAGTCAACAAGGTCGCGAGAGCGGCTCGGTAGCATCACCTACCGTTTGAACACTCATCGAGCTTCCTCCTGCCTCCGAACACAAGAAGCTCATAGCCCATCTCGCTACGTACCCGTCGGTCGTCCGGTGCTTGTGCGAAGGAAATCTTCCTCAATACACTCGCTACGTCGTGACCAGTTTTGGTTCATCTCCAGAAGTCTCTACCGTCAGTTTTGAGACGTCCTTGCGTATATAGGCAACGATGATGTGATACGCCGCGGGGCAGTCGCGCGAGGATCACACGCATTTTCATGCTATCTGGAGTACAAAAGCCAATTATCAGTTTGCAAAGGACATCAAGCTACTGCCCCAACATGAGCGCCGTCGATCCAACCTACCCGCTGTATCCTGTCGCCTGCGCGCTATCCGCCGCGATGCTACTTTTAGTGTTGCTCGTCAACTTCACCCGATCATCGAGCTGGAACTTGGGGGTACAGTTCTTGTGCTTCTGGCTGTGTCTCGAAAACGCCACATCGGCCGCGAACGCCATTATATGGGCGGATAACGCCGAAATAAAACTGTACGTGTATTGCGACATTGGTAAGCCGACGTCTTTCCCAGCATGCTCGACCGTAGTTGAATTCACGGGCTCACAGTTTCTCATTTACGAGTGATCACATACGTTGTCAAGCCCATGGCAACGCTCATCATCACACGACGACTCTACTCGATCGCGAATGTGCAGTCAGTGGGGTTCCCTAGCAAAATTATGGTATGCCTTTAATACTGGTAGGTGGACGCGACTAAGCTTTACGATAGAGACGATGGGAGCTATGCGTAGAGTGGACTCTGGGCCTCATAATCCCCTTATTGGTGGCCGGTCCTATATGTGAGTCCCGGGACGCTATGGAGAGACTGCTTTGCGTTGACCCCGTTTCAAGATTATGTCAACCAGGGCGCTCGATTCGTGGTATACGAAGGTGTCGGCTGTACTAACTTTTCCGAGTTCTCAATACTTGAGATTCTGATCAGCAAGTCATGGGCAGTCATCCCTCCATTGGTATCGGTCGCCGTCTATTATCGTGCGTTTCCAGGCCTAGCCACCTGCACAACGCCAGTTGACTATGAGCCGCCATCTCTAGCGAAGGTCGTACGAACCTACTATCGACAGATGAGAGATATCAACAGCATTCTACGTAGCCACGACGAGCACTTCACGCGCACAAGTTACACTCGCATCCTCCGAGTCGTCCTCGCCAGCATCGACATCGTGCTCACTCTTCCCATCGGAATCGTGACCATCGCGATGGAAGTGGTGACGGCGCTCTCTCCTCCCAAGGACTTTCCCTTCTATCCTGGCTGGACGTACCTGCACACCCGCTGGGACCCCTTCAGCTATCCGTATGCCGCACAAGAAGCCTTCGGTACTGCTTTTCTCGCGCAGAACTATATCGCCGAATGGACCTCCCCCGTCCTCGCATTCGCCATCTTTGGACTCTTCGGCTTTACATCCGGAGCGCGTGCATCTTACTTGCGCGGCGTCTGCGTGATGTGCAGCTTGTTGGGGTGGAGGTCTGACCCAAGCGACAGGAAGAGGAACAGGCAACTCGGCGAGATCGAGTTCGCTGTGGCGCGTCCGCAGGAGACCATTTCTGATATTGAACTCGGGTGCGTCTGATGTCCACGGCTCCTGCGTCGTGTCTCCTCTGACCGGACCGGATAGACTGCATATGCCCAATTTTACCGAAACGTTCGCGCTCGTACCGAGCCAGATCGATCACTGCCCACAGGACACTACGGACGATAAGTGAATTCGGGACGCTGCGCACGGATAGTTTAGATGGGTGCGTGCTGCTCATGGAAGGTTTAAGCTAGCGACGCGGGGGGATACGGCGCTCGACGCGTACCCTCAGGACCTCGATCCAAAATCATCACTCTCGCTTGTAATGAAGCTGTTTCGTATCATTCGCTTCCATTATCGTAAACTGTAATGTTCCGGTACCATGATGCCATGTGCACCGAGCACAGCCAGGAAAGAAGTTGAATGCTACTGCGACGCGGAATCTTCCATATATTGTAAATCCAACTGTGCTCTTCCTTCCCTCCGTGTTGCTATAGAGTATTGTTCAGAGCATCGTGGCCCAAGGTCGGGATTCCTTCGGCGATCCGTGCACTATTGGGTGCATGGTGCTGCGTATTCACGTCCACACTAGCCATGGCGAGGCAGGTCGGCATCGCTGCGCACGCGACGTCGCGGGAGGCAGGAGCACTGTTGCATGGGCTATCCCCTCCGCGCGCGGCGACAAAGCGAGAGTGGATCGTGCGGTGGATGAGTTCGGTCGACTGGAGTGCTGAGTGGACACGCGCATGTCGTGAGCAAGGACGAGATGTCGGCAACGGTGGAGGGTGAGCTGGGCTGGGCAGAGGAAGCGAGAGTGGATGATAGGTGCGGGCTCCCGCCCAGACGACCCGATGGGCTTCGTGCGCGATGCGCGTCGGATGTTCCTTCAGGGCACGAACGAGGATGCAGCGCGGACTGCTGGGTAGACTGCGAGCCACAATGAGCAAGGGATGAGGAGATGGAAGCAACACGTACCAATCATGCTCTTCCCAGATACACGACCTTCATCAAGAACGTCGTTCCGCTCTCCGCATGCACAACATTGTCGTGGACCTACGTTCACGCAATCAGAACTTCGACTTGACGAAGAGCACGACGATCTTGGGCGTACGGAGCTCCTATCAAGTGGCCATTTGTCAATTCTTCTTCGCGAGAAGGCCAGTTGGCATCAGATACTCCGCCCTGATATCTCACCGCCATGCGCGCAAGGCGTGAAGTATACACCTTTATACGCGGGATGAGCGCATGGAGATGGATATTCGCGCCGCAGCAAGCCAAAGCTATGGCTCTGTCGCATCCAGAAAGAACCGGAGCTTTAGGTGATGATACGAATGAGAGTGGCGACGGGATGATGGTATAGCTCTCAAACGCCGCGGGGTGAGCGCCTACAGAATGTACATCGACGCTGGCAAGGCGTTGGGCGGTGATGATGGTCGGGGGAACGACGTGCGAAGACGGATCAAATTGTCTCCGAGGGCCGGCATTAGTGGCTTGTTCGGGGCTGCTTCCTACCACGATCACCCATACCATACACACAAACACGTCGTCTTCGACGGCTCGCGCGCACTGATCATACGTACGCGGTTGCCGGTGCATTCTTCAACAATCATCCTCTTCGATGAAAGACGAGACTCTCGCGATGCTCCGGTCAGCGACTGGTGAACCACGCGAGTAATATCACCTAGACCTTGCGGTAGGACTTCTCTGAGCGCTTGAGCATGTATGTCATCAGCTACGCATTTGTACAGTGACTTGGGTCGAATCCCGCCAGCTTGACAACTTTGGATTTGACAGTGATTCAGTCGGCGAGAGACCCCGTACGTGCGATGAGGACATAGCGGACTGTGTAGAACGACCTCTCGACAGGGAAGTACGTATTCCACGGAAACCCCTTCACATGTCAAAACGCATGTTGCCACTGAAGTTCGTTTCCACGTGAAACGCACCGAACAAGTCAGAATGTGACGGTTGCATGCGACAATATTCTCACCTCCACGTATGTGCTGCATCCTGAAGAGGATGGTGATCTCGATAGTACGGAAGTACAAAAACGTCTGGCACTTGACAGTCACCAACCAGTCGTCTATTCCACCATGCGCGCTGTCGACCCAACTTACCCTTTCTATCCCATCGCCTGCATCCTCGCTTCGTCTATGCTCATTCTAGTCCTTTCGACTAGTCTCTTACGCCAGAAGTGGAATCTAGGCGTCACCTTCTTGTGTTTCTGGTTGTTTTTTGAGAATCTTTGCGGGGCAGTAGACGCCATCGTATGGTCCGACAATGCCAACCTGAGATTGTACGTATGGTGCGACATTGGTATGTTTGCCGTTATCTTCTTCGTGCCGCTTGTCTCACCATATGTTCAATCAACAGTGACGCACTTGTCGAATATCACATTTATGATTAAACCTCTGTCAACATTCATCATCATCCGCCGGCTTTACTTGATCGCAAGCATCCAGTCAGTGGAACTGCTTACAAAAGCAGAGGTATGCATGTCAATACCAATCTCATGCTGGACTCAGTTTTGCAACAGAGGCGATGGGACCTGGCAGTAGAGTGGACTCTGGGTCTGGTCCTGCCCATCCTCGTGGCTGGTCCCATATGTGAGTACTGTATAGATGCATTAGGTATAACTGGCGCTGACCTCTGCGTACAGACTACGTAAACCAGGGTGCTCGATTTGCCATTTACGAGGGATTTGGGTGCCAGTCTACCAAAGACGCGTCAATCCTGGTTGTCTTGATTGAAGACTCTTGGACCGTCATCTTTCCTCTGGTATCCGTGGTATTCTACTATCGTATGTTCGGGCCAGTCATCCACTTTACCATACACTCAACTGACCGCTGCTCCAGCAAAAGTGGCAAAAACATACTATCGTCAGAGGAGAGACATCAACAGCTTCCTGCGCAGCGACCACTCGGTCTCGCGCACGAACTATCTTCGCATTCTCATTCTCGCCAGTCTCGACATTTTGCTCACGTTACCCATCAGCACCGTGACCATTGCTTTGGACATAGCAGGGGCACTATCCGCTCTCGGTTTCCCATTTTATCCAGGTTGGAGTCTTATACACTCCAGATGGGAGCCCGTAAGCTTTTCCTACGCCCAACTGCAAGCCTTTGGGACTTCCGAGCTTGCTCTGTTGTACTTTTCTCACTGGACCTCTCCTGTACTCGCATTCGCCATCTTTGGACTCTTTGGAATGACGTCCGAAGCCCGCACGTCCTACTCCAACGTCATCTGGACGGTCGGAGGCTGGTTCGGTTGGAAGCCCTCTCAGCGGGGGCGAAACGGACAAGCATCTCTAGGAGAAATAGAGTTTGGCTCGCGGCCGCAGGCGGCGGACGCCTCAGGATTCGATCTCGAGATCGGGTACGTGCTATCGCATCCGTTCGTTCAGTATGAGTGAAGTACTCATGGCATTGACCAGGTCACGCCCCCCTAGCTTCATCAATGCAGGTGCCCCATCTACGAAACAGGAAGTCCCAGCCGTCGGTTCCACTCAAGCATGTAATTGATCAGGCTATGGTAGAAGACCTGAAGCTGGCATCATCGAAGGGGGGAGTCGTGGTGGTATGGGGAAGAGAGATCGCGGAGCGTGAGAGCGACAACAGCATGATTGCCGCCGCCCGCGCGTGAAGATTGCCTTTCACCATCGTCGGCGCGATTTCGCGATTGTACCGTGCTACGCATCTCGACTCCATATTCTTCGATAGCCATATGATACCCAGATATCTATTATGTTCGGACCGCCCAACGCGACGACAAAAGCCTGCAATATCCGTGCCAGCAAGCCACACCTCCAGGCAACACAGAACTTGGGTCCTTGTATGATGCGCTTACGATGCTCGAGTCCTGCACAGCTCTTGTCTACCTAAGCACTTCTAAACGCTTAGCAAACTCCATGCCAAGGTTGTACTCTGCTTCTCCCGCTAGCGTTGAGGAGTGCTGCGAATGCGGTTATGGTCCAGCCGCATTGCCACTTGAGGAGATGTGCCTACAAGCCCATCTCCACATCGCGATGCGAACACAGTTCTGTCATACAGAATCTCGCTCTCGCGCATGTATCCGACATGGTAGGAGTGAGGCTCTTATAGACAGCTCGTGCGCTATAAAGGTGCTCGACGCCGAGGCAATCCGCCTGAGAATGCCAAGCGTCTAGTCAAACATGGGCGCTGTTGATCCCACGTACCCACTCTTCCCGATCGCCAACATTTTGTCTGCGGCGATGCTGCTTCTGGTACTCCTAACTAGTCTAGTGCGCCAAAGCTGGAATCTGGCCGTTGGCTTTCTATGCTTTTGGCTTCTCGTGGACAATGTCACCACCGCCGCGAACAGCATCATCTGGTCGGATAATGCCGATGTAAAGCTGTATGCTTACTGCGACATTGGTACGTCTATGATGGGTCCTCACCTTTACAATAGGCCCCTAATACGTTCTACATGCCATGCAGTCACCCATCTGCAAGTCATCACATCCGTAGTCAAACCGATGGCGACCCTTCTCATCACGCGCCGACTCTACCTGATCGCCAACTTGCAGTCAGTCGAACCTCACAGGAAAGGGAAAGGAGAGGTACGCACCCCGACCAGCAACAAAGACCGGGACTGAGCTTCTCTTCCAGTAGAGGCTATGGGATACCGCGGTAGAATGGACTCTATGTCTGTTTGTCCCCCTTCTCGTGGCTGGTCCCATCTGTACGTCGTCGGTCATCGTGCTGCCCATGGGCGTCGTTGATATTCTCTTGAGACTACGCGAATCAAGGTCTTCGATACTTCGTCAATGAGGGTTTTGGGTGCACAGCTGCGAAGTTCGTGTCAGTACTCGAACTTCTGACCGTAGAGTCGTGGACTGTCATACCTCCCCTGATCTCTGTCATGTTCTATTATCGTGAGTAAGCTACTCTTTTGAAGCTTAGAAGTGTGCGTCATACTCGTTTTCAGCGAAGGTAGCCCGGATATACTATCGCCAGAGCAAAGACGCCCACAGCTTCCTACGCAGCAACTCCTCAGTGTCGCACACGAACTACTTGCGCATCCTTGTTCTTGCCAGTATTGACATCTTGCTGATGCTGCCTGCGGGAATAGTGAACGTTACGCTTGAGATTATCGCGGCGCTGTCGCGTCCGGACGACTTCCCCTTCTACTACGGCTGGACCATCCTACACACCGATTGGGATCCCGTTGCGTTGCCCTATGCCGAGCAGCAGGGGTTCGGGACGGCAGCGCTCGTGCAAAGCTACTTCGTGTTTTGGACGTCGCCCGTCCTCGCATTCGCCATCTTTGGCCTCTTCGGCCTCACATCCGAAGCGCGGACGTCTTACTGGCGCATCGTCTGCACCGTCTGCGGCTGGTTTGGACGGAAGCCTACTGCCCTCGAGCAGGTGGGGCGGACATCACTGGGTGATATTGAGTTTGGCGCGCGCTCGCAGGTCGACGCCGAGACGGGGTGCGTGTCGCGTGTCGTTTGCGGGAGCCAGGAGGAGCCAGCCTGACCGGTCTAGGAAGATTGCGCACTTCCAGTCCCGTCGAGGTAGCTACGGCTGTAGCAACCATGGTCGACGATAGGATCGAGGCGCCTGAACCCCGGGCGGACTTGAAGTTGATGGCGAAGCACGTCGACGAGGCATCTTTCGAGGAGACATGCGAATGGTTAGTACAGATGGCCCACCCTCTAGAAAGCTTGCTCACTCACGATCTAGACCGCGCAGTGACGCAGAAGGTGGTACCACAGCTGCTGGTGGCACTTCTAGCGACGGTGAACGCTTCCAAGATGCGGATGCACTAGGTCTTAAAGAGAATGTATCTGATGTGCCAGTACTGTAAGCTCGATGTGCGGATCCGTGTGGGACGATTGACCGAATAGACGCCCAGCTAGATAAAGGCTATGTTTGGAAACTCTGGCCGGGTGACTTAACCCGCTGAGTGCTGTAACTTATGCCACTCGGAGTCACTTGAACGCTTGTTCATATCGGATTGCCTAAGCGGGTGGCTTTTCCCATTGATCAATGTATGCGATAAATACAAGGGGATGCCTTTCGGCGACGGCACCACACAATACGCAGGTCTGTGTGCGACGAGTGGTCACACAAACACCTGAACACCGACCTGACACCTGAGTCGCTACAGCAGGCGCTGACGCAGTATACTTCGCCGACTGCAAGACCTCGTAAGCTGAGGTTCTGGGCTGGGACCATCTGAAAACGCACCATCATAGCTTTGCGCGTCGTACAACTCCTTCATCCATTTCATCCGAGCTCTCATCTGCGTAGCATATGTTCGCCACATTGCCATGGATTTCACAACATCCGCCAATCTCACGACCGTATGTTATGGCCTTTCCGCCCTGGATTCGGCGCTCGAGTGGTGTTCCGTGGTCGGGCTCGTCGCGCGTGGCAGGCCAAAGTAGACTGCGTGGAGTACACGCGAAACAGATCGAGTCTTCATCACGTTGTCGGTCTGAGACGTATACGGGGTACCGTGCGCCGTTTCCCTTCGGTTCAAAACCGCGTTTGATGTCCGCGCGCCGCCGCGGTTATCGGCCCGACAAGGGCTTACCCTGCCCTCCCCCGTTCTCTCCCTTCGGGCCAGCTGCGCTCTCAGCTGGATCTGAGATCTGAGCCTTCATAGAGCTACAGTAATCCCAGTAGAATAGTATCTGGACTTCGCAGAGCGAGTTGGCACCGCGTAAGGCCGCGGGAGGTGATTTCCGCTAATTTCCGGAGTTTTCCCACGGCTTGATCGCAGGCGTTGTACGGTCTAACTCCTCGCATAGGGTGTACTGGCAGCTGACCAGAATGAGTTAAAGAGTGGACGGCACTCTATACGGCAAAAGACTACTACTCCTGTGAGCTAGCTAGCTCAAGGGCTCGTAAATTCGATTGTACACATATACGACAAATATACAAATATCGCCCCGAATTTGAGGGACTTGAACTCGTGATTCTTTATAACACGCTCTTCCACTTCAGACGCCACATATCCTCAAATATCGTCTCCGACACCATAGGTTCCGCCGTTGGGGTGGCTACTAAGCTCCCAGAGTAAATGCTGAGCGCTGAAGTCGCGGTCAAGCCTCAGTGCGTGGGAAAGCTTCGGAAATTAGCGGAAATCGCCTCCCGCGGCCTTACGCGGTGCCAACTCGCTCTGCGAAGTCCAGATACTATTCTACTGGGATTACTGTAGCTCTATGAAGGCTCAGATCTCAGATCCAGCTGAGAGCGCAGCTGGCCCGAAGGGAGAGAACGGGGGAGGGCAGGGTAAGCCCTTGTCGGGCCGATAACCGCGGCGGCGCGCGGACATCAAACGCGGTTTTGAACCGAAGGGAAACGGCGAACCGTAATACGGGGGGAGATCAA